TGTTGGTGTGTCCGCTCGTCTGCAGACCGGCTTTGGGATGGGACTGGCCTCGAAATCGGGCTCGGGCTCGGGGTCGCGGTTGGGGTCGGGGTCGGAGTCGGGGTCGAGGTCGGGGTCGGGGTCGAGGTCGAGATGGAAGTTGGGACCTCAGTCGTCCGGTTCGGAGTCAGCTGATTGGCAAGTCAGCATCGGTCACGAGGTCGTCGGGCCGCCTGGCCAGCCAGCCGAACAGCCGGCCAGCAGGCGTGAGTGGGCGGTATCAAGCATCATCGCCTTGTCAACTCGCGAGTGTGTGCTGCTTTCGGTGAGCACGGACAGGCTGAGATTAACAAGAGAAACGAGGCCGAGGAGAGATGCGCCGCGAACGGGCCTGGCAATTGCTAATTGCGCTTGACTGGCTGCAAAGTTGCTTGTTCGTTGCGTGTCGCAGCGAAGAGGCCTTGAAGAGACACGACATGGACGGGAACACGGCAACAGTTTATGGAGACTGCGTCGTGTCGTCTAGCACCTCAGCCGAAGTTCTATCCAGTTTGAATTGTGCAATAACTGCGTTTCGAGGAATCTCTTGTTGCTCACTTTGTTGAGCTCACTTTCATTTCAAGTGAATAGATTCGAAGGTCGCTTCCACCAGAAGACGACGGCGGATTCCTCTTGACCAGCTGTCGATTGGCTTTACTGCAACATTCTTGTTGACGCTGTTTCCGAGGCAATCTCCTGCGATTCCGGTGAAAAGATGCTAATTGTAAGAGTTCCTTTCATTTCGCTTTAAGAGGCGAGTAGAATCCCCCCATCCGCTTCTTCAAACGAAATTAAAGGTATCCCAATCTGAAGGTCATAGTAACAGAAAATGTTGGTGTGGCAACAAGATTCGACATTCCTTTTTTGAATCTCTTCATCAGGCGTCTTCTCAAGGAAAGAAAGCTTACATTTCATGAGTTCGAATGGCCTCGTGTAGACTACAGCAACAGATCACACTTTGTGGACAAGCAGATGTAGAATGGTCACTATGCCACGCCAAATGAGCCTGGAAGCTTCGGTCAGGCTGAAATATTCTCGTTGAACTTATTTCCATTTTGAGTGAAAGTTTTGGGTGAATAGATTCGAAGGACGGTTCCACCAGAAGACGACGGCCCATTCCTCTTGACCAGCTGTCGATTGGCTTTACTGCAACCTTCTTGTTGACGCTGTTTCAGAGGCAATCTCCTTCGATTCCGGTGAAAAGATGCTAAGCTTTCGTGCGTCAAATGACGTACATCATCAGAGCAAGGTATCATCGTCACAACAAAGTTAAAGTTAACAAGTCAACAAAACTCACCGGCAAATCCCTAAAAAGTGGTATATATACACTTCATCTGTCCTCTTTGTAGATACGAAGAGAAACTTGGTTTCGATGAATCTCCTCAGATAACATTGTTAGGGGGACCTTCATT